TCAAGTGTTTTTGTATTTTAACGAAAGCTCTTAGCGTTAGGTTAGGTTTTTTAAGAATTTGATTATTATTATTACGACGTAGGACTTACTACACTAATATGTATTATAATATTTTATTTTTCAGCGTATTGAACTATAATTAATTTAAATAGTTAATATTTGATATTTGAAAAAAAAGGCTCAGCAAAAAAAAAAACCAACACAAAATTTATACACTTCTAGAAAAAAAATTATATACAATAAACAATATAGAATAAAATATGCAGCTATACTTGCATATTATATAAAGCTTCATTTACTTAATAATTATTTACTAAAGAGTAAAGGGCTTTTTCTCGGAGATTATTTTGAGGGCTTTTCCTCTCTCTAAATTCCTAATATTTATCACACTAATGTACATTAATCTAATTGTATTAATAAGTCTGGTAGAATTAAAACTTTAAAATGTTTTGTTTTTTATAATTCATTTAAATACACAAGTGATGCAATTTAATTTTAGTATTATGATTTTCATTGAGACTCATTATGAACCAACTTCGATTATAATAAATTTGATATGTTATAAACCATGTATTTATAACGATTTATAACTATATTAAATTAAAAACTCTAAGTTTATTATTAATAATCCTTTACTATTGAAATTATTTTTTTCCCCTCTAATTAAAATGGAAGTTTAAAAGTACAAAATATGTTATAGGTACCTACGTCTCGATATACGTGTGTGTATTTGATTATCAAAACGCTTTAATAAAGATATCTAATTTGAGTATTGAGTTTTAATCTATTGACTAGACCATATTATTCACTAATAAATATAATAAGTAGTATTATTCGTAGTAATGTAATTATAGTGCAGTTATTTTAGAAAAGAAAATCATTAAATTAATATTTTAAAAACTAGACAGAATTAAAATGTAGCTAGTACCTATATATTAGTTTATAATCTTACCTTGCTCATATTGTTTATTATTATATTTATTTATTATTATCGCATTTGAAAAACGATTCTGAACAATATGAATAAAACTAACTTAAACTCTTAATTTTTATAGTTATTTAACATTTTTATAGTGATTAGGAAAACTAAGTGAAAATTCCGAAAGAACTGATTTCTAATCAATATATGATATAGTATATGGCATTTATGAGTTGTTTTAATATTTGAAAAAGTGTTATCATAATGATAAATATCATTGAAAAATCAATGTATTTTTAATTTTACTGAAATTTTAAAACAAACATTATATTCGAGGTTGAGACTACTGTGTATAATTTTGTTATTTTATCAACACACAATAAAAACAAATCATATATTTATAATATGTTAATAAAATATTATTATGGCTGCATGAATATAATGAATGTAATAAAACTAATTATTGTACAGAGCATTTTTTTTTTATTATTATTATTATACTTCGATGCGAACCAAAGAACAAATATTTCTTGGTTTCAATTATTATAAGAAAAAATGTATTAATATAGGGGAATTTCCCCTATTGCCATTTTTTTCGCATCCGTTATTAAAAATGAGTTAAATTAGCCAACATTATAACAACAATTCAATAACTATGGTTAAAATCATTCACAATTTTATTTTTCTGATAATTTACTGTAACTACTGTAACCTACGTAGTTTTTGAATTGCATTAATTTTAAATGTTCTCAATATTCAAGTATGTTGTAATAATTAACGTTTTATAATAAAAGAATGCTGATATTATTTATTTTTTTTTAATATTAAAGATTTAATTTATGGTCTATACTCCAATCGTTGTTCTTAAATAATAATAAATATATAAAATCAATTCATAAGGACTTAATTTATAGTTTTTATAGATCTTTTACTCAAAAAGGTTTGTGGTAGTTTCATATTTCTCATATCTTGTAGTTAATGACTAATATTATAAATTACCACATGATCAATTAACATAGTTATTAATTATGTTTTAAACATAAAATGGAATGAACTTATAAAAAAAAAAAAAAATGAATAGTTATCTATAATTTTAATTTTAATTGAATATAACAATTTTCTAAATACTTTATTTATTTTTATTAAAACTCGCTAGTATAAATTAATTTTATAATTTAAGTCAATTCAAATATTAATTTATTTATTAAAAACTAGATACTTATTTTAACTTATACTAAAAAAAATATATATAAAAATTAATAATAAAAAATTATTTGAATTTGAGTTCGACATTTACAAATTATATGTGATTCCGATTATATTTATATATATATATATATATATATATAATCATTATATGGACTTTATATTAGAAACTACAAAATTTATGTAATTTATTTTCTATTTTTTATGGGGATATAGTTAAGTTAATGGTGTTGAGATAATAAAAATTCAATTTAATTAAAAAATACCAGCAGGTGACCAATTGATATTACAGTCTTAAAAAATATAAAACATTAAGCTTTTTTAATTTTAAGCTTTAAAATGGAGCTTTTGATGAATCTCTGTAATATTTGTAATGAAAAAATCTTTGATCAAAATTGTTTTAAATTATAATATGATTAATAGTTTGTCTACGCCTCTCAACTGACCTTCTAGACAAATCAGTTACATGTGTTTGAACACCTTTCGCTAATATTCCTCATTTACAACAAAAGTTTATTTAAATTTTGGTTAGAAAAATATTCATTTTCATTTTAATGGAATTTCTCATGACATAATATAGACTGTTGATTTATAATATCCTCATTGCATGAATCAGAATTGAATATTTTCCTTCGATTTTCGAGTTCGCAAATTCGAATATTATTCTATTAAATTTTTTGATGATCTACAAATCTATTATATTATATTATTAAATAATACGTAGTCTTATGGCGATTATAGAATATATGAATAAATCGAATAGCTGAAATAACTGTTTAATTTAAGATAGCTTAATAATGCCAGTTGTAAAAATAATGAAAATATAGTTTTATAATTTAGTGTTTAATATCCGACATTATATTATGTAAATATGCAAAATAAACGAATATAGCTGATAAATCATAAAACAAAATAAACATTCACTTGTATACATATTAGTTTAAAGTCTTGATTTCTTGATAAGAGCGAAAAAACGTATTGACTTAATGAAGGGTGTTCTATAATTCTACATTGATATATGTTTTATTTTTTTATTGTTTGTGTTTCAATGTAGATATTAGTTGTTTTATTTTAGATTAATCGAAATGTTGGTAAAATATCATTATATTTTATTTCTGTATAACCATTACATATAATTATTAAAATATCAAAGGATATTTTTACTTTTTATGACTCATAAAAATAAATATTATAAACTATGTAAGCACTTACTGAAACTATAATTATCCAGTTGTATAAAATTTATTTATACAGTATTCAATCATCTTAAAGTTTCTTTGCAACGAAATATATTTTTTTACGCTAGAAAAGCTTAAATAAGTACCTTATCATGTATGAATATTTTATACATTCATCGTGTTAACAGTAAATTTATAACAGTAATGAATAAAAGCCTAGTTAGTACTTCGGAGGAGAGAAAATAAATATTCTCAGTATTTTTTAGAAGCAAAAACGAAAAAAATAAGGATAAGGAGAAATCTTATTTAAAATCAGTATTTGACAAAATCAATTTTAGTTTTTAATGTAACTCAAAAACAAATAACCATAGATATTTGAAATTTTTATTAAGTATTTGTTATGAATAATAAATTTTTCAATATATTTAAATTCTTCTTGAACAATTTATAGGAATTTATAATTTTAAATTTTTTTAGTTTTTTGCTATTTATTTTGACAAAAACTATTTGAAAATTTAATACAAGGTTCCTCATAAGATTTTCATTTATAAATTAAAAAATATCAAAATTACATTATACATTATTTTTTTTAAGCATTTAAAGTTCAAATTATAAAAAAACTTCATCAAAATAATAGGTAAACATTTACAAAAATTGTGTATAATCAAAAATTTATAAAATGGTCAATTTTTATAGCTAAGAATTGACAACTTAATAAAAAGTTTCCCATAATTATTAGTTTATGCTGTAAAATATATAAAAACAATTTTTATTTAATCGCGTTAAGTTCAAATTTAAATGAAATTAAATAAATAATCAAAGAATAACAATTTTAATTATTTTGCTTAAACGTATACCCTTGTGGTACTTGAAACTTTTAACGCATATTATTTTATTTTTTTCACATAATGACATGTGCAATGTTTATATCAAAAATTAATTCTACCTACTATATTGATAATAGTAAAATAAGTTACGGTAATATAATTTGTCGATATTATGTATTAAATCTAATTTGGTTAAAGATATGAAGCGGGAAGAACTAATGTCTAATACATAAATTTGCTACAACGAAACCCAGAAAAATTATATTTAAATAAATACCTACGTACCTATCTACAGAATAATTTCATTTATTTAAACTATAAATCATAAGATAATTATAAATGATTTTGACTATAGTGTTGTAAATCTATTAGGTATTATAATTATTTAACTTATTAATATTTACTTGTAATATATTTTCAATTTGAGTTAAATCGCATTTTAAAAATAATTTATTCAGGTGTATTTATGGATACATGAATAAGTTAAACTAGTTAAACAATTTTTTTTCTGATTGTGAGAAGGGGGTAGAAGAATAAGCGGCAAAAATTGTTTTCTCCATGGCAGCATTGGACCTTAACCCGGATCTGTATAACTGAATGATATTGATATAGGTAATTATTATTATAAGCTTATTATAAGTAATTATAGTAAAATTTAATCATGAGCCTATAATAGTGTATAAGTTTCTTACCGTCTATCCGTCTGTCGTAAACAGGTACCGACTTGAAGTATTACAAGGCGTACCTATTTATAATGATCATACATACCTAAATAAAAACATATGATTGTGCGGGTGGTGATAACGATCCGGCTATTGTCGGACTACAAATTTACTCACGCAATCACAGTCGAGCGTGTTATCAAAACGATTTTCCTATATGCTATGCTGTACCTAAAACGATAATATTGTAAATTATGATGTTTAGTATTTATGATTTACATTTTACATTATAAATAATCGATAAGCAAATGAAACTTTAAATTTAATTTAATTTTGTATTATTAATTTTACTGTAGTTGTTTGAGTTTTGTTTCTATGCGCGTACACAACAAATAACATTAAGCAATTCTTACTCACCCATAAGTATACCGGCGAAAATTGGATCATCGTTCTCTCGTTCACTGAGTATTTGAAACCCGTGTCGCAACATGAACTTCGAACCGGATTTGAAGCAGTATACCATGTGCTCAGTTTTAGGATCTTGTTTCTCGGACCGGGCTGTTGTGTTCCTGGGCAAACACAACAAGAGCGGCAACCTGGTGGCAATGAAAAACTTCAACTTAGACAGCATGTCGAAAACTGACTGTCAGCTTATACAGGATGAGATCTACAATACTAGACAGTTGATGCATCCGAACCTCATACCGTATGTGACTTCTTTTTTGGACAAAAGTCAACTGTACGTTGTGTTCCCACTCATGGGATATGGTTCATGCAGAGACTTGTTGCGCAACCATTTTGAGGAAGGATTACCAGAAACTGTTATAGCATTTGTGCTCAGGGATGTTCTGCAAGGACTAGAGTATATACACAATAAAGGACTCGTACATAGGTCGGTAGTTTTTCTCCATTACCAATATTAATCAATATTTTTACAGTTTTTTTTTCCTTCAGGGCTATAAAAGCAGGTCATATATTGATACGTGCAGATGGACATGCATGCTTATCAGGTTTACGTAGCATGTGTCCAATCAATAAACGGTCAAATTTACATTCCTTGCCACTGCAATCTGCTAACAACTTGAATTGGTCTAGTCCCGAGATGCTCGAACAAAATTTGCTTGGGTACAACGAAAAGTCTGATATTTACAGTATAGGCATAACATCATGTGAACTGGCAAATGGTTTCGTTCCTTTTGCTGAAACTGATACCACGCTTATGCTTACACAAAAAGTTAAAGGTCTAATTCCACACTTGCTTGACTGCACTACATGCTATCCATATGAAGATAATGTAGCTGATAATGGATACCAGTCTGAAGAAACAATTGGTGTGAATACAGCCCCTGTGAGCACTGTGTATACAAGGATGTTTACAGAAGAGTTTCATAATCTTGTTGAATTGTGTTGTCAACGAGATCCAGAAAGTAGACCTTCTGCACCCAATTTGTTGGCTCATACTTTTACTAAACAAGTATGTTGTAATTATACATATTTTTTAATGTGCATATATATATTAGTAACTATTGCACAACCGTTATATTTTACGACATTATTATTTAATATTTATATCTTCAAAATTCCAATATTTATTTATTTATTTCATGTTCCAAAAAATATTTTCTATATTCTATATAAATCAAAACATTCTAAGATTTTTAAAATGTCTTAAAAACTTAATCATATAATTCAGAATACTTCATTAATAATTTTTAAAATAATCAGTTATGTGATTAAAACATTGACTGAAGTCCAAGTAATACAATTTAAAAAATATTTTTTAAATGCTTAATTACCATAATAAAATAACAAATAAAAAAAATATGTATGAACTTAATAAATAAAAACCAATAGGTTTTAAACAGAAATATAAAGTAGATATGTAAAAATGTAAATTCTCATCTAACATTTGAAAAATTTTATTTTAGAAATTCTATTATGTATTTTATTTGTATACACCTAATTATTAAGATTTGACTATACTTAACATTACGTACACTTTTTTGTCTTGGTCTTACCAATTAGTAATATGGCAAATGCATATTTAAAAATTCAATTTTAATTTTGTTTGTTTTGATGTTAAAGTAAATTAAATCTATTATAGAGCTTCATTAGAGCCACATTATCTCTTTTCTGTTTAAAATTTTTATTTTTTTATTCTGAAACAACATGTGATAATTTTTAAATAGTAATGTTTTACGTATTACCTTGTTGAAATATCAACAAAATATACCATCAAAATAATAGACAATTTTGTTACTTTTAAATTTGGTAGTAGGTCAATTCACTTTTATATTAAAATTGATGAAACTAAATGTAAATTTCTTATTATGAATTAACTGTAATAAACTATGTCCAGATTATAGATCCATTTATTGGAAATTTAGAAATACAAGTTTTTTGACAATATTGATGACATTAAAATATAACTACTATTAACAGAAAATCTGGAACTTTATTAGCAAAAATGTCAGAATTATGTTTTTAATAATTATATTCTTTGTCTGTGGTTCACAATATGGTTGTTGACCCCTAGAAATATATGGGTCAATATTAGGTGTTTACAGTTATGCTTGATTAAATCATTAAACCTCTAGTACTCACCCATTTTGATGACAAGAAATAATTTTTTCTTTATTTTCATGTCTCAACAAATTTGAAACGTATATATGCTGTAAGTGGGGTATTACCATAATATATATATAACAAAAATATTATTATAATAATTCAAATTTTAATTAAATGTTTGTGGCTTAATAATAATTGAAAAACTACTGATTTGGACACAGCTTTATATACTTGAAAATGAAGGTAACAAAAATTAGCAGTCATCGTCTTAATAATTGGTGAAATTTAAATTTGTGTATGAATATTTAGTGAAAATGTAATTCTTAATTCTATTTTATAGGTGAAAAGAGTGAATGTAAAAGTTACAGATTTATTACGGCCTGCTGTACCACTGCTGAAGACAAATGTTGCAGAAATAAGTGATGATCTCGCTTCTATTGGAGGCATGTCACAACAATTGAGTGATCTTGACTTGTTGACTTATGCCTGGGATTTTGACCTTAATGATGTTGTATCAACATTATAAATGCCTATTACCAGTATTAGTATTCATTAGCAAGTGTTCATCCCTATCATATTGTATGCAATATAGATCAGTAGCTAGTCTAAAAATATGATTCTTTAAACATATATATATAATATTTTGATCGATATAGTACCTACACAAATACTGAAGATTTATTTTAAGTAGATTATTTATCTAAAATTGACTCTTAACATACATATTCAAATTAATTTCTGCTTAAATTTTAATAAAAATTTCTGTTTAATGTTAAATTTAATTCAGTTTAATATTTAATTTTAATGCATGACTGTTATTGCTATTTATGATATATAATAGTTAATAGTAATTCTTCTTTTTGCCAATAAGTACTTCAGTTCTACAAAACATTTTTCATGAATTTTAATTGAAAACAATAGGTACTAAGCATTTTGTATTAGTTCTTAAAGGATATACTTAATCATAAAACTATACTATTTGCTTTTAATAAATTAAATAACTATCTTATATTGTTAGGTATGACATGGTACTAAACACAATGTTATATTTATTTGGTGCTTCTAGGTTTTACCCCCAAAAAAATGATCTCTTTATTTTGTTGGTTCATTAGCAATGCTTTTAAGTTTTGACATTTTTTATTTTACTTTTGAAAACGCTAACTACATTTTTGTTTTACTCAACAATACTGTTAACATTTACATAAACATAGCTTTTACAAATTTATTTTGTCGCATAGTTAAGTAACTAGTCTCTTTGTATATTGCTATCTAAATCAAAATCAAAAATGGAAGTATACAACACATTTTCAAAATTGCTCAATATTTCAAAATATTTTATTCATTTTTGTTTCAAGTATAAAAAATATTGCAATTCATTTTTGAAGCGTCTTACATTTTTTTTTATATTCCTTGATCTAAGCTCTAAATGTGGTATTAAACATATTAAAATAACCTACAATTTTTATTTGCATTTATTTGTTAATTATGTTTATGTATATTTTATATTTACCAAACTACATTTTTAGTATTATTTTTAAATGTATGTCTCATTCTACTATTATTTTAATTATGGTTATTATTTTATATTTGTTGTTGTTTATTATAGATGTAATTTCTACTATTATTTGTTCTCATATAGTAAATTATTCAGTTATACTATTTGCACAAACATTTAATAATGTATTAAATAATATAAATGTATAAGAAATTGAATTTAATATATATATAATATATATTATGTGTGTATGTGTGTGTTTAATTTTTTCTGTAAATACTTAGTACCTATCCTGAAATCATTAGAAATTAAAATCATAATTATTATTGTTACTAATAATACTGTGAAAAAATTATTAATACACTGGAGTAAAACAATTTTGAAGCTTCTGTATTTGCTTAATAGAAAATAATTTAAAACAAATATTAATTATTATTATAATTAATAATACAAAATATGATGTGGTGGTATAATGATATGAAAGCTATAGACTGTTATTACTTATTATAGTTGTTTTTCTAAGTGAATAAATATAAGTTTGAACAGTTCCGTGATGTCCTGATAATAAATATAGAGGGAAAAATCTCAATTGACAAACAAGTTTGAATTTTCAATTTAGTTTATACATCATACTTTATTCAAGGAATGGACATAAAATATTAGTTATGCGTAGTCCAACGTAATACCACTAGTACCCTGACACGGTTGTTTTCGCGCTGGACAAAGTATATATCTTTGTTAGGTACTGATTAGTGATTACTGAATAAAAAAATGTATAGATAAAGATAACAATATAACACTATGATTACTAGTTATTAGTTACATTTTACGCATCTTATAATATTTTAATTATTTTATATTATACATAATTTCACAATAACTTATTGACATTTTCCAAACATTTAGAATAATTTTATGCAGTTGCTTATTTGATATTTATATTATAAATAATATAAACCTATCGGCTATCACACCAACCACAAAATAGCAATCAAGTTGATTTAAAAGGTCTAGAAGTATTGATTGGGACTGAATGTCATTACTTTCCAAATTTTTGAAGTACTTAGTTAGTGTTGTATTAATTTCATTTGCCATTTCAACAATTGCAGTTGGTGTTTCTGAATTCTGGATATATGAATGTAAGTGGTCCAATAAAAATATATAAAATAAATTTTGTTTTGATATTGTCACAGTATTTTCAGAGCTCATTTCAGTTGTTACATCATCAAAAACTTGAAGAAATGTACAAGCAGAAGATATTATTTCCCATTCATCATCACTTATGCAATTTAAACTGTTATTAGTTATGGCTAATGTTGACAACACCGGTTCTTTTAATTTAACAATCCTTTCCATCATTTTAAAAGCAGAATTCCATCTCGTTTTACATTCCTGAATAAGTTTAAGAGGTTCAAATCCACTTTGCTTTTGAATATTTTGAAGTTTATGAAGAGCCCCAGAACTTTGTTTAAAGAACTCAACTATATTTTTAATTTTGGTCATAATTGGTTTTATATGATTAAGAGCATGTTGAATATTGATGTTTAAAACATGGAACATGTCACCATTGATTTAATCGAATAGGATTAACTATATTTGGAGCGTTATCTGTGACAGTGGCAGATATTTTATTTTCAATGTTCCATTTTTTAGCTGTAGCCATCAGAAAATTAGCAAGTTCCTCTGATGTGCACTTTTCATTATAATTAATGCATCCAATTAGTCGAGAGCATAATACAGTGTCTGAATTTATGAAATGAACAGTTAACGCTATAAAATGCTCGTTGTTGATGGATGTCCAACCATCTGTTGTCAACGACAATGCAATGACATCATTTAAGTCCGCTTTAACTTTCTCTAAGATACTTTCATACATTTGTAATAGTAAACTATTTGAGACGGTCTTTCTAGATGGCATTGTATAGTTAGGTATAAGCATTTTAATAAGATTTCTGAACTCAGTTTCTTCTACAATTGAAAATGGATGGAAATTTTTCAGAATGAATTTTGTTATTTGTAAGTCTATAGCTTTAGATTTTGAAAGCGAAATCAGTTTTGAAATAAATTGTGTAATGGAACTTTGTCTAGATGAATTTGTTGATGGGTTTGACGATGGTGTTAATGGACCTGCTGATTCAAACACTGTACTTAAAGAAGCTGTACTTACGGTTACACTGGTAAATGGAGTGTTAGATGGATTATCTACATTTTCTTCGATAGTCTATGGTCTTGACAGTGGCACAGCTACGTGTTTTGTTTTCAAATGCCTTAGAAGGTTACTTTTAGATCCTCCAGAGTAACTGATTTCACGTCCACAATAGAAGCATTTAGCAATAATGTCAGATTTTACCATAAAATGGTTCCAGATCGCACTCCGTTTACGTTTTAAATTATTCATGTTTAAGTATATCACAAATATTAATATGTGTATATTAGGTAATATCTGAGGTTTTACACTCTTAAAGCCTGACAACTAGTGTAGCACTTAAGACACAACTATTATAATTATGATGGGTAATATATTATGTCAGTGCCAATATAACCTCATATTTAGTACAGGTCTGAACATGTATTTTTATGTCATAACATTATCCAAATATGTAAATATGTTTTATTATTATACTAACCAGTTGTGTTCACAGGAGAAGACCTTCTTAGAAGGATGGGAAATCCTATTTTAATTATTATTTTAGCTTTTAATAGGTTCATAAAGTTCTGTTTACAAACATGTAAAATTTTACTTTAGGGTTTTTGATTTATCCTAATTATTAATATTGTGTTCTAATTAAGGTATTTTAGATTAATTTTAAAAGCCAATTAGAGTATGGAATTCTGTTAAATATTAATAACTTTATAGTATAATATTATATAACATTCGTTAAGCCATAGTATACACTCGGCATGGTTACAAGGGGGACTCCCAATGTCTAGCCTCCTTTTTTCATTTCTATATCTGTCTTTATAGACTATACTTTAAAATTCAAAAAATATAAATATTAATAAATAGTTTAGAATAGGTTAGCATACTTATATGCAATTTTAATCAACCAATTTGTATGATTATTAGGTACTAATACTTATTTGGTAAAATAATACTCAGAATTTGTTTTTCAAAATCAAAGGTATATTAATAATAATAATATAATGATAATATTTATTTTGTAAATATAGGTACACATAGTAAAAATAAAACAAATAAACAATATGCAACACCCCCTGTAAGCATAGCTTACAGTATTAGACTGTCGAGTTCAATTTATAAGTTAGTTTAGTTATACAACTTATACAATATACATGTTATAATGTCAAACATATCTCTAAAAGAATATAACAATAATAAAAGAATTAATAAACTAATAAAATAAAAATAAATTATTATAATTAATATTTGTTCAAATATTGTCAAAATCAAGATGATAAAGAAAAAATTGAGTTCCTTAAAACTTTTGAAGTTATACATATAAATTTTAAATTTTTTACATAAATCTGAGCCTTCAATAAATGTACATTGAGATCCAAATGTTATATTATTACCTGAAACAATATTTCTGTTGCATTTATATCTATATATAGATATATTTTTATAGTGTTATAAATAATATGATTCACATTGGATTATTATAAAATATACATTGATTTCAAATTTATAATAACTATTGATTCATATGTCGTCACCTCTCTCTGCACCTCGCCCTTTATTAAAAAATGAATATTTATATCTCTAAATATATGTACGGTGTCATGTTATCTTATAAAAAACAGACATTTTTGTATTTTTTCTTAACTTAGTTGGATTTTTTAAAATGGGACGATTCTAAACACAGCGAGTTCTAAAAACTCTAATTGCCGATTGAATCATAAATATGTGAATCAAATGAATCAGTGAACGAATCATTTTAGTGAGTCGAATCAAGTGATTCGATTCATTTAAAAGATTCGTTTTTCCCATCCCTACTGAATCAACTCATTATTCGATAATAGGTACTTACATAATTAATAGGAAAATATGGGTAAGCGTGTGGTTGGTCAGAAACTTCTTAGGTATTATATTTTATCTAATATTTAATCATTTTATAACGTACATATTGGAGTAAAACTATAATTTTTACTTTTTAGTAGGTACAATAAATTTTGTTTGTTGTAACTTAATAGCCAATACAATAACAATATAGAGCCTTGAATTATTTACCAAACAAATTATAGATTACTAGGTATAGAATATACATGTTACTTATAACTTAAAAATATTTTTAATTTTGACTTTTGTGTTAAGGTATTTATAGTATAACTATATAAAAAAATTTAACTATTAAAGCCACATCAATTTTAGATATTGTTTTCATTGTACAAAAATTATTCGTAGAATCTTAAAACATAATATTATAATACCACTAGGTATAACTACCAATAAATATTATTTCCTAATTTTCGAAATATTTATACAAATTGTATAAAATGTCCTAATATTTTTTTAAGTAATAAAAAACTTTAATCTTTATCAAAAAGATTTAAAATTAGGTATATAAAATCACTCATAAATTGGTGTTATTATACTGGGTATTTAAAAATACATAAGTAATATACACTTTTTTTTTCTATGAAAATGAAGTTCAAATTATTACAAAATTTGTCAAAATCAAGGAAGTTTGAACATTTTTTTGTAGTTAAAAATATATTAAATTGTAGTAGTTTATTATGAATGTCATGAACAATACAAGGCTTCTCTTAGGTTTTTCTGATAGAAATTTATAAATCCCAAAAATATAAGCGCCAAATTTTTATCGGAATTTCAAGTTGGAAAAGAATTAGATATTATACAAAAATTATCTATTTTAATTACTTATGTAGTAATAATTCAAAAAATATTTGTGTGGACTTGATTCTTTTTGCCAAATACATAAGTAATGTTATAGGTACTTACCTACCTATTTTATTGTTACTAATTATTATTATTTTTCTCACGGGAAAATGTTCAAACTATTATTTAGCTATTTTTAATAAATATTTATAAGGCATTTCGTTTTACACCAAAATATAATATTCATACCAAAACAGCTACCACGCTGATTTGTTCCAAACTCTAATTTATCATTGAATTTAAATCTAATACATCATTAAAGACTAAGATGCTTTTCTCTTTTACAAACACTACAGTCCTACTCGACGAAGTATACTCGACATCTTTTTGCACGACAAAGCGACTTTGGCAATATTTATTTTTTTGTTATATAGGTACCTACCTACTATGCGGCCAGCGAAACTAGAAGCTTGACCGTCACGCTCCTGATGGCTGTTTTTTATTAGGGCTACAAAGAATGGTTTACCGCGTAAAATAATTTCAAACACTTTTATACTTGTTATATAGACCTGTTTCACAGCATCACAGCTACTCAACAGTCCCGTACAATACGCGCGCGTATCGTATATTCATACGTATGGTTATGAAACAGGCATTTACTATAAAGACATAACATTTTATATTTCTATATTACACATTTTTATTAACTTATTATTACATTATCAAACATAAAATAATTATAGTAACATTTAAAATATTTACAATTGTTTTTTGAATAACTTCCAGAAGCGAAATTGGCCCAGAGATCAACTCAACTTATAAAAAAATAAAATTATTAATTAAAAAAATAAAAGAAAAAAGTCTAGAATTGTGAAGTAGTGTAGTTTGGACACCCCTCTTCAATCAAGCTGTCCAGCCTTGTAATCATACAACCCTATTACCTATTGTATAAATTAATACAGATTGTATACATTTTCGTTGTAATTAAAATAATAAAAAAAAAATTTTATATTTCTATATTACACATTTTTATTAACTTATTATCATATTATTATCAAACATAAAATATTAATAGTAACATTTAAAATATTTACAATTGTTTTTGAATATTAATAAATTACATTAAAATTTACTCATCGTCGTCGTCGTCATCATCGTCGCTTGAACTACTGTCATTTGGATAAATTGTTAATATTATCGGCTCTAATATTTTGTCCCTCAGTCCTGCTTTATGGAAATCTTCCTCCTGAATTTTCATACAATGTTCACCACATTTGGCTCAATCATCAGCAGTTACCGCGTCAATTTCTTTATGGACAAGTGCCTCAACGTCAGCAATTTTAAATGTGGAGTTTTTTTCAGCCACTCTCTCTTTTAATTGTGCCCAAATTAACTCTATGGGATTATACTGACAGTGGTAAGGTGGAAGTCTTACCACTTCATGTCCCATTTGGTGTGTCAATTGATCCAACTTATAAATTTTTCCACGCGGCATCGCAAGTTTGACTTTCGCCCGTAGTTCATCAAGTGATTCTATGGGAGAAAACTCTATATTTTTTTCGCGTAACCATTGCTGAACATCCGTTTTCCTACTATTTAACTTCGGGTAGTTCTCAAGTAATGCAGAATGATAAGATGCGTTGTCCATAACAATAATACTGGGCTCTTTCAAGTTCATTAGCATTTGCAAATACCACTTTTCGAAAATTGTAGCATTCATTTGCGAATGATAAACTTTGGTATTGCCAGAGTTACAGCGAAAAATTAATTTTGCATCTTTGACAAAACCAAAAGAAGGAGACCCAGCATGACAAATTATAAGGCGACTGCCTTTCCCTGTAGGTACTTTATTCAAGCCCTCTGTATTTTCGTGGTTTTGCCAAATATGTCCCCGAGTATGATTTTGGTTAACAGTGTTAACACAAGTCTCGTCTAAATAAACTATTGGTCGAGTATCACCATTTGTACGAAATTCGTTCATTTTACGTAAAAATTTTACGCGTGCAGCTACTATGTCCGATCGCTCCATGAGAAATTTGCGACCGTCATTACATCTTTAATATTTAAAATTAAGTTTTTTTAAAATGATTTTTACTGATGATTTTGACCCCCGGTAATCAATTTTTTCTCGCAATTCCGCTAAAATATTTGCACTAGTGGGAAATTCTCCCTTGTCATAAAAACTGTGGACCACCCTTCTCACCACTTCACTGTCGAAATCGTCAAGATCGGTGACAGGTTTGTTACGACTGTAACGTTTTCTAGGTGATCGAAATTTAATATCGGTGGAACTTTCGACACCTAACTCTTCTTCAACACCAAGAGGTATAGTTTTGCTTTCCTTACAAATTCTTTGTACGGTAGACCGACTAACTCCACAAGCATCTGCCGTCCTTTCTTGACATAGTCGGAAAAAATTCGCCACTTCCGGTTGGTCTTTTTTACTGGCTAACGTTTTAAAATAATTATACACGTTGTATATAGTTTTTTTGGTTTGAGAATGTATATCTGGCCGGATCGACATCTAAATTGAATAATATAAGCACAAAAATAGTAAAAAACCGCGAAAAAAAAACAAAAATGTACAAATAAACAAGAAATAACAAGAAGTTCGTATCAAACTCAGTTCAAATTATAACAACCAGCACATACAATAAACATGTTACACGAAGTAAAGAAGTCCGGTGACGAACAGGTCATACACGCTTACAGCAGATGGTTTAATGGTTAGAGATTTGTATTAAAATCTGCAGATGTTCAGCACGCAAAGGTCACACAATAGTTATTAGATAGTTAACTAACCTTCGGAGGGTACTAATATTTTCCCTCCAAATTGTATTTAAACGACATTATTGTATTATATTATATTATATATCAACGCATTATTCTATTTGACTATTTACAATAGAATGAGAACCGCTTTTCGTAAGCCGGACTACAACCATAGACCTTATATTCATAGACTTATATTCAAAATAGTAGATACATAGGCAAATCAGGCACAAACAAAATAAAGATATTTGTAGATATAACTCAATAATATTATGTACTCATCAGCCAATAGTTAATGTAAAATATTAAAAAATATCCCATCAGTTGGATGCACTGCATGTAATAACACTTGTTTGATTTGATTACAATTTACAAAATATTTTGGGCGTGTGATTCAAAGTTTAAACTGAAATTGTTCCTACTTCCTAAGAAGTAATAAATAAAATATTGAAATACAATAAATATAAGCCAATCCAGTAATGTAAGCTTTTAAATCTAGTCTTATTAAATAATTCGTCTAATTACAAATCTCATAACGATGCCGTCCGCTCTTTGTATGTTTTGCATGAGCTTCATTGTTTTATACAGCGTTTATTCTGGTAAGAAAAACAATCTGAACATGTTTATGTTGATATCCTGACTCAACAGTTGTTAACTTGCAGTGAATAAAATGATAAATTGTTTGTATTTTTTAGTATGTGGTCTCATGTGCTGGCATTGTGATTCACTCCACGATCCCAAATGCATTGATCCATTTGACAATCACTCGATGCCGATGAAAGATTGCAAACTAGAAAAATTAGACACATACCCTGGTGTGCGAGGTACAATGTGTCGCAAAATTCGTCAAAAAGGTATGGTAGATTGTACAAAGAAAGTAAAATAAATACTCACCTAAATGGTTTATTGATTTAAATTATTTTTAGTGTGTACGGGAAATGGCGTTATTATCGGAGTTGTGCTTTTTTGGGCGAACCCGGTATTGGTGGTGATGAACGTTATTGTTTAATGAGAACAGGAACACATAATATATTTACTGAGTATTGTACATGTAATTCTAGAGATGGATGCAATGGCGCATCCAACTTTTCATTTTCATTTGTAAGCTTATTGTTAGCACCAGCTCTTATTGTTTACAGAATATTACTATAATGTGTTCATCAAACAATACAAGTTGTTATTATCTGAATACATTTTTAAGATAATAGAATATAGTTTTCTCCAGATATCTAACCATTTGATATTGTTTAAATTGTTATGATAAATTAACTGAAAAATGTAACTGATCCGTCCATTTTTAGCTTATTTAATTATAAAATAACATTTGTATTCAAAATATTTATAGTTTATAGTTTTTTTTTTTTTAATATTTATAAGTAAATATTCTGACAATATTTTATGAGAAAAATGAAAAATCTATAGAATTTTTTACTACAAATTTAAAATAAAAATATGTATTTTTATATTTTTGATAAATTAAGTTTAAGAAAATCAATTTATAGTTTTGTATTCTATATTTTAAATTTATGTATGACTCCATATTATTATTCATTAATTTGTATTAACCGTTATCTAATAATGGATAAATGATTAATTTAATTTTACTTATCACATTAATTCACTTTATTTTTATTTGTAAGTTTAAGATGATTTACTACACTAAACTACATAAGATAAGTTCTTTTTTTATATCACTTAAAAAATTTAAAAAATATTCTATAGAATCTCACTTGTTTATTTTTTATCTTTATATTATATCAAAGTATGGTTTTTTAATATGTGTTACCTTTTCTAATTTTTTAATTGTTAGGCTTAATTTTTGATTAAATTTGTTCAATTTTAAATAAGTAAATGTTAATTGTATATTTTTAACATATTATTTACAGCTACTTTGTTGATTAAAGCCTGGAACAATATCTATTTAAGTATTAAAATGTTACGAATCATTGTACAATTTTATTTTAATTTAAGTATAATGACATGCAGTTTATAATTAAATTCTTTTGTATTAGTCACCAAATCATAAATTTAATTCTACATTAGTTGTTTATATAAAGATTATAAATTCAATAATTATTACTTAATATGCTATTGTTATTTTATTTATAACATTATACTAAAAATACGAGTCAATTATGCAGTTGCTTATAAATGTCATTAATTAGTCATTTTAGAACAACTTTTATTTAACTAGTTAATAAATTATGAATAAAATTGTGAAAAATGTCTTCTTTAGTATATGAACAATAAAAAAGCAGTTATTACTTATTACACATTCCACAATAAATAATTTTCTTTGTATCAGCTATTCTCAAATAGCATCCTATACTGGATTATACGGCTGTAGCCCATGTGAAAACAATATTATTTTCAATTTATTGTAATTACTATTTATTTAATTTTAATTTTATAAAACTAATTCTTATTAATTATAGTATTAATAGCAGACTATCTTATTATCAAAAATTGTGTCCACATTTAACAAATTCACCTTCGAGTGTATGTTTCTAGTTGGTAAGCTTTCATGCTACATTGAAGCACATTGCATTATATACGCAATTTAATCTTTGTCAACTATTGCAGAGCTAAAATCACCAGCTTAAAAGTTGGGAAACCATAACTTTGTAAGTTTTGAATTAACTTATTATATTAATTATATTTTTAAAATAAAATCATAGTGTTGGTATTAATTTTTTTTGAAGATAAAAGTTATATATTAACTATTTTTATTATTTTTATATAAACAAATGAAAATAATGTGTAAATGTTATTTTAAAATGTAGGAAACCATAAAAAAATAATATAATATAAAGTGGTTACAGCATGTATGTTATAATTAAATGTTGAGATTTAAAACAATCTTAACTTTAGATATTCAAAATATTTTGTACCTTCATAAAAGTAATTAAAATTTAACTAATAACACAAAAATATTACAATTGATATACTAAAAAAAATTATTCACTCAGTTTGTAGTTGAATGAGAAAATGAGATAGATGTATACTATCTTTGAACTATACATATATTTTAAGAATGTAAGAGCATACTTATATAATTTTTTATCTGTACTTTATCTTTTCACTGATATAATATAACTAACTCGTGTAAAATGTGAATGCTATTATATCACTACAATTGAATAATTATTCTGTTTGGTTTTAAATTTCAGCAGTAACAATATTTTACAATTTATGTGCAGTGTAATGAATATATTAGAAAATTAAAAATTATTTTTAAATTAACATTTTTTGTTTGTTTTATGACTACTAATAAAAGAGTAACTAATAACTAAATATTGTTTATTACAGTGGAAAACACAAATTACAACAGATGATAATGAAACAAATATAACATTTAAGTAGGTATGCATATTTTTTTTCAAAGTTTAATATTATTATTTGTAAACTTGTTGCATATTATTCAAAATTTTAACAAAAATGTTATTTATTTATTATTTTGTTTATTAATTTATATGCTTTTTTAAAAATAAATAAATAAAATATTATATACCTAACATAGTAAGTGCACAAGTGTTTATGTATTATAATGCAAGGTAATAGGAAAAAATTTATTTTTGAGAATAAGAAGTTTTACAGAGTATGAGTAAACATGTCATTTGTTATTGACCTATACATAAAACTTTTTTTTGGCCGCTTAGCATGTATCTAATTTTAAAGAATTTCTGTTGTCTAATGTTAGTACGCAATTATACAATTTTTCTGCTTACCTTTTCAAATTTCTCTTCTAGTAGTTCTAAAACTATATGAAGTCAACCATAGTTATTTATTTAATTTATTACTAATAACAAAAACAAATTATTTCAAAAGAATATCAGGGTAATATGTTTTATTTCTCAAATTCACATGTAACATATTATATAAAATGCACTCATGTAAAATCATTTTTTTTTTTATAATTTTTAAATAACTGTAGAGTAAAGTCTCTTATTATAAATATTATTGTGGATAATATTTTTGAAGGTTTGATATATTGGTTTCATATTTTATTATTATTTGTTTGTATATTAGACTTTTAAAAAAAAAAAGTATTTTTAAATGGATATTAAATTGTTTTAAGGCAATGTTAAGGATTCAGTGCAAGAACAGGCAATATTTATTTTTTTAAATTTTTTAAGAGCTAGCCAATTATTGAGTGAAACACTATACCAGATGTCTTCATATATATATTAGCTTATTTAATAAACAGATATACTTGGTTATTGCACCAAAATACAGAAAAGTTATTCTTTATCGAATTTAATAAAAATATGTATTTAAAAAAAAGTGGAGATCTGTATATCAAAGTGGATCTTGCATAAACCTCTTCAATTGACATGTTATACCCTCAAAAATATTGTTCTTTATAATTTTTATTCTAGGTGATTTTACTGTAGGATTATTCAAAAATAATGAAAAAATGAATTTACATGAATGCATTTTGTGTAGGTTGCGAGTGAGTTGGAGAGAGAAAACAGTGTGCCGACATCCTGTTAATATAATTTTCAGTATGAATTACACAAGAAATTCTCAAACTATATATCATACCTAATATAGTTCTACTTGAGCCTAAGTATGAAAATAATCAACAAGAAAACATATTTCAATGCAAACTATCTTTTCTAAGAATTGACCTGTATAGCGATATAAAGAAAATTTTCAACTGAAACAAATAATTTAAACTAAAAGTTATTACTGTTACATAATTTGTTTTAGTAGTATAAATTAATATAGTAACATTATATTCAACAACTAGTTGTTCACCAAATGTTTATTTATCATGTATTTACAGTTAGTATGAACTTTTTAGTCAAAAAATGGCTCTGAGGATATTTAAAATTCAGTATTGACTTACTTTATTAACATATGCAAATATTATGATAATCAGGTAATCAGAAAAAAATCATTATCAGCACAAATCCATAATAAAAAATATGTAATGCAACTATTTGTATTCCCAATTTAATTATCTTTATCTTATATTCATACCTATTAATAAACTAATAAACTATATTAGGTATTGATGTTTAGTTCAAATACTGAGAAGATAAAACATTTTAAAAATAAATAACCATTTCAATTTGTATTATAAAATATAACAGTTTATTTATTAAAATTAATAATTAAGTGAATTATAAAATGTATAAAAAAAATGCAGTGATCAATACACTAAAAAGTTTGGACGGAATTTGTTATAAGCTTATAAATAAGTATAGATCAATTTATAAATATGTACATAATAATTAAAGAACACAGTGTGGTTGTTATAATGGATAATGGTGTAATATTGGTGGATGAATTACAGTTATCTTCTGAACAATAGCATTCTTCCCAGTACACTCCATTCCATTCAACTCCCCAGTTGCATACACCAGTTACACCAGTATCTGAAACTGATCCACAACGACGGATCACATTTCTCCAACGACCATCCCCTTGAAATTAAAAACAACAAATATTAGTATATTATTACATAAAGATATTAATGATTTTGGTCATATCAATTCTTTGACACTTTTGACTCACATATAAATCCTCTAAGACCTTGTTTGGTTACTTTAACACAAAATGTGCCTGGCGTATGAGATTCATCACTGGTACATTCTACCGATACATGGCGATCCTTGTGAAATTTATCGTATGCACCACAATTATCAGATCCTTTTGGATCGCTACTAGTTGAACACTGGTAGCATTGGATTCCACTTGCTAAACACGACAAATTATACTTTAATAATTGGAATGAAAGGGCGTGACAAAGGACAGCCACACCTTTTAAACATAAAATTACCTTTATGCAAGAATGAAAAACCTAAAACAACTAATAAAAAGCATGAATGTATATTGGATTTCATAATAATAAAAATAAAAAATAAAACTATTCAGCTACAAAATCAATATGATGATTTAACGACAATATAAAAAAAGAATTATGTTTAAAAAAATTTTAAATTATTTTATGGTAAGTATTAAATAGTAGTAATTCAAAAGGGAATTTGATTAAGATGACTAATGTAAAATGATAATAGGTAAAATATAAACAAAACAAACAGTGGTGCTCAGTGTGAAGTATGTGTAGGAAGTTAGAACCATGAGTTATATAATCATTTCTATAACTACTTAACAGGTTACAAATTTACAATATTTAATTTTAAACATGTTAAACCTTATAAATTACTTTTAAAATACAAAAATATTTTGTGTGTAATTCAAATGATAATAATATATATATATATAACATTGAATTAATATTAATGCTTTAAAGTAAAAAAAAAATTAAGTATGTTATCTACGTAAATATTCAAAAAGTAAAAAAGATCTTTTTTGGTATTCGATGTTTCTTCTCCATGATGACGCCATGTTAACATTTTTAACACAAATTTTTCTATGGCCACTGCCGAGTACTAACCGAGCTTGAGTTCCACAATTCATAATCATAATTACTAATTAGGTAAATAATAATTACTAAGTTCACAGTTCATTTCATACTTCGTCCATAAGTATAATGTGTTTATATTTATTGTTTACTAAACAACTCTAGAGTCGGTAATGATTTATGTTGTACATCAGTCCTCAATGTTTTGATTTGCTTATTTAACATAATTAAGCTAAATTTCTGGAGCAGTAGAATAATTTCTAAACGTAAATTTTATTATAATTCGTATTTTGTATTGTAGTTGAACCGCCGACCTGTGAATGGTCTCCAGTATGGGTTACAGCCGAAAGTAAGTCGACCGCCAATATTTAATTTTAGTAATAATTACATTTTCATTAAACACTTGACATTTTTATTGTACAGTCCAATATCATCATCGAGAGATCGTAGACGTGGGCGAGATAGACGAAGTCGAAGTCCGATACGACGGCGTGGTGGTGGCGGTAGAGGAGGTAGAGGTGATCCAGGTTCTAACTTACGTAAACCTCGATGGGAAACAAAAAAACTGGAACCATTTAAAAAAGATTTCTATTTACCGCACGAAGCTGTCCATAATAGGTAAAACAAATTATTTATACTTTATTTAATTTTTGTGTAAGAGTTAAGTTTGAAGTATAACTTTATTTTAAAATAATTAAACTAAAGTAAATATTAACAATCATAATCTTGTCTTGGACGTAAACTTCAGAGTTACTAATTACTATAAATCTTATAGTAGTACTCTTATTAAGTAATAGTTTGGTTTCAAATTATTTTAATAATTGATTTTATGATTACTATGACTTAATTGAAGGTAATGATAGTATGAGCATTACAAGCCAAGCATAATGGCAGTAAATGTTAAAAATTGAATTTTGTTTAACTGCCCTTATGTTAATAGAATAACTTCAAACTTAATAATATTTTGGTTGGTATTATGCAACTAAACAAAAAAACATAAAAGTCATCATCCAACATTTTAATCCTATATATATATATAATATATACTATATTATACTAATCATAGAGAAATTATTACTCTATGAAACTAATAAACACTGAATGAATATAATTTTGCTTTATAAAATTTTTAATATTAATATTCTATGATTGCAGTTAAAATAATAATTCTTATAGTAATAATATTACTGAATAAATAAAATTAATTGATCATGTCCCTCTATGAATTTTGCTTGATGCTATATAATAAATAATTAGCATAATAGCATCTATGATTCTTAAATATATTTAAAAGCTCTGTGATTTATGTAATTTAAGTGCTTATTATTTTTTATTTATATACTTTGATGTTTAAAGTGTTCTTATTAATTTTAGTAGAATATAACATTTATTATTTATGCATTTTTAAATGACATTGAGTTTATTTCTGTATATTATTTAATTAAATTAAGATTTATATAACTCATTCAAAGAATCATATTTTTTTATTTTTAGATCAAAATCAGAAATAGAAAAATACAGAGAAGAGAAAGAAATAACATTAGTTGGTGAAAATATTCCAAAACCAATATTTAAGTTTGATGAAAGTGGCTTCCCTGAAATAATTATCAAGGAATTAAAGTAACTTATTTTTATTAAATATATGCTAGAAAATTGATTAATAAATAATATAAATATTTGAACACAGAAAACAAGGTTTTGTTGAACCTACTGCAATTCAAGCACAAGGATGGCCAATAGCTTTATCTGGGAATAACTTAGTTGGTATTGCGTCTACTGGTTCTGGAAAAACATTATCGGTATTTTATTATCACGGTGTCCGACTTGCCTATAGCTTTATACTAATGTATATAATTAAATTTTTTTGTAGTATATTATTCCTGCTTTAATACATATTTCTCATCAACGAAAATTGTCACGTGGTGATGGACCTATTGTATTAGTATTGTCTCCAACCCGAGAATTAGCCCAACAAATACAAACGGTTTGTGATGATTTTGGTGATGCATTTGGAGTCAGTAGTACATGTTTATTTGGTGGTGCACCAAAAGGTGGTCAGGTATGTTGAAGTTTATTTAGGCTGATAATCATGCTTTTTTGATTTTTAATTTTTTTTCTATAGGCAGCTGATTTAAGTCGTGGAGTTGAATTAGTTATTGCTACACCAGGACGTTTATTAGATTTTCTTGAAAGTGAACGTACAAATATGTGTCGATGTACTTACCTTGTTTTAGATGAAGCTGACAGAATGTTGGATATGGGGTTTGAACCGCAGATTCGAAAAATTATTGATCAAATAAGAGTATGCTGTTAATAATGAATATACGTTGTAATATTTTTTATATATGTTTATTCATTTGCAGCCAGATAGACAAGTATTAATGTGGTCTGCAACATGGCCCAAAGAAGTGAAGAATTTGGCTGAAGAATTTTTAGATGAGTATATACAAATAAATATTGGTTCCCTTACTTTGGCAGCTAACCATAATATTCAACAAATTGTTGAAGTCTGCCAGGAGTATGATAAAGAAACTAAGTATGTATTCCTTAGGATTATTTTATTTTTTATCTTTTTTTTAATATTTAATATTTTATTAGGTTAATATCTCTACTAAAGAAAATAATGGATGAAGATGAAAACAAAACTATTATTTTCATAGAAACTAAACGACGAGTGGATGAAATCACGAGAAAGATTAAAAGACATGGGTGAGTTAATACATAAAGAAAAAAAAAATGTATTATAATATCAAAATATAATAGGTATTCAGCTGTATGTATTCATGGTGATAAATCACAATATGAGAGAGACAATGTTTTAAAAGGTATGATTATTATATTTGTATTGTTTAAATTATTAAAAAAATTTAGATTTAATTAAATTACAAATATATATTAAAGATTTCAGAGATAGTCGTTATCCTATTTTGGTTGCTACTGACGTGGCTGCTCGTGGACTTGGTGAGTAACTATAAATATGTTTTAAGGTTTTAAAATAAATAATTAGTGTATAACCAATATTTGATTAAAATCAAATTATATAATATTTATAATTAAATCTTGAGGGTTGTATTTTTTTAAACATGACATGGTTTTTACTGTTGAATACAATTTCTGTAACATTCTACCTTTATACTAAAATAGTAGATTTCTTATCAAAAAATATAATATTATAAAAAATTAACATGTTTTATTTTAACAAAATATATTTTACGAAAAAAACCATTTTCTTTAAATAATAAGAGTAATTACAATTATATTTTAATACTATCTTCGCAGATTTAAATATTTAGTGCATATAATTTTAATTTTGTTATCTCTTAGTTGTTTTAATCTTAAAAAGTTGTTGTTAAAGAATATTTAAATCTATACTGTATGTATAGTAAATAAATTTGACAAAAGATTAATATTGACAGGGCGGTGGTGGAAGAAGCTTACGGTAGAGTTACTTGTAAATTAATTTAATACAAGTTAGATATCAAAAAGTTATTATGAATAGTTTTATCTTACTACGTTTGATAAAACAATTAAAAACATTCTGTTATTCATTTATATGCTTATATTTTCAAACCACTTCATAATTTATAAAATTTAATGTACAATTTGTCAAAATTGGCTGAATTTATATTTGCTAACTGAAAAATTAACATTTGCTTTGACTATGAATTTTTACTATTTATAATATTTTCCCTTTTCTGACTAGTTTAATAATTTATCTTGAATTTTGTAAAATATAGAAAATTATAGTTTATTTGAAATGTTTAATATTAACATATTTAAAGAAACCCAGTTTTTTATTGTTGATGATCTTTTAAGGTTAAATCACATTAAATTTAACATTATAATATTATTTTTGTTATATTTAATAACAAAAAGTGGTCATCTAATGCAAGGAATATTTTTATATGATTTAAAAATATATGTTTGCATGTTTTTATAAATTCTAAAATCTAATAATTGATTATACCATAAATATAATTTTGGCTAAATCATAGGCGTGAGTATGGGTAGGGCTGATTGGGCTTATAAGTGGGTGAGTACTTGATACCTAAAAAAGTAATAACTAATAAGGCGTTATAGCCGTAGAAAATAGATAATTAAATAAATCAAAATCATAGATATTTACATGATTAAAGATATACTGGTTCTTCATAATTTTTTTCTTGTGTGACTGTCAGGGGTGGGTGGTCAGATTAAATTTAGCCATTTTTGGTTTAAAAGTCTATGCACACCTATGGGCTAAATATTCTCAACTTAAGAATAAAATTACAAAATGTTTGCGACAATCAGTATTCATTTTATTAACTAAGATTATTTTTTATTGAATGTGTACAATTAACAATAATCTAACTGCAAATGTTTCAGTTTTTTATTCATAATTAATTCGATTTATTTAAACATTTAAATTTACTTAATTCTATATAATAGTTGATATATTTTTATTTTTTTTCGTCTGTAGTTTAAATAAACAATTCTGAAGTTAAATTTAAATTTATACTAAAACAATCAACCAACATTGACTCCTCCCTGCATTCATTTCAAAATAATTTTTTTTATTTAGCACTTAAATCTTCTTTGCTTGTTATGAAATAATAAGTATTCACAATAAAGTTTTGTTCTATAATACAGTGTCCAATTTTGTAAACTTGAGTTTTTTGGCGTTGGCACCCACTCTTTTCATGGAAAAAGTTTTATATTAGCAACAGACAAAAATTCTCCATTAAAATCTTAAATTCTCATTGACTGATGTGCTTTCCAGGATTCCCCTAGTAAGTTTTTAAAAAAGGACTTCTTTATTTTATTTTTCAATAAGATTAAGAACTGTATGTAATACGAAACTGATTTTGTTTGCTGATGATATAACAATATATTTTAAGTCACTATAGTCACTCATAGTTGTCAGCTTATTTAATCAGACCTTGATATTTTTTGTGTCTGATCTAAATGTCTTAATGTAATAACTATTTTTAGTTGTTATTCTCCCATATTTTATGATTACTATATTGATAGAATTTCTTAAAATCAAATCAATCTTTTCAAATATCTTAGTATTTATCTCATTCCTTAAGCTTTGACCATGATATTAACATTGGTAAGGTTAGGTTAATTAAGTTATGTTTAACATAAGAATATTCAATTTTGTATATCTTATATAGTTTAGTGTTAGTATGATTGTATGACACCTTTACTTGACTAAGAACCAACTGGATATTTAAAATATCCAAAAAAAGAATGTCATGCTTATGATTATTATTCTTGAAATTAAACATCCATGCCATGGTAATTCACTTTTACATAGTACCCTCTATATTCCTTCTCTACCTTCTCGTCCCTCTGACATTGATCTCTATTTCATTACATCACTTAACACATTAACTGCCATTTAATAAGTATTTGTTATATGCCAATTTTTCAATGTTTTCCAAATTTGTTATAGACACTAAATATTTAAAAAAAAAATTGAAAGAAAAATAATATATTATAGGTACCCATATCAAAAAAATTGTAATAGTTCCTGCTACGCCACGGTCTTTATATTGGTGTATTATTATAGTGCCATAGAAAAGTTAATAGTATAAAATTAAATTCATTTATGGTCGCCAACGTCCATAAAAATACTGTTGTATGCTAGTATTTTGCGGACGTCGGCAGCCGCATGGCAGTCAGCGTGTTAAATACCACATAATGTAATCTCAGCATAAATTTTAATTTCTTAACACTCTTCTATGTTTTATTCAACTAACACTAGTTCTAATTATGCCATGCATGAATTACTTTGCTACTTAAACTGTACTAACTTTAATTTTCAACATTTATTTATAGTTTTTTCACCTAACTTGTTGTTTTTACCTAGTTTTATTTCAATTTAAACTCTAATATTATTTGTTCATTCAAGCAGGGATTCTCAAAGAAGTAGCTAACTTGGTACATAATACTTTTAGTGTCACTATAAGCCATGGGAAGCTTTGTTCCCCCTCCCATCCAATAATCCTACATTTTTATGAAATCTTTCCACATTAATGATCAGTATTACAAGATATATTAAAAATTTAACTAATTTTATTTATTAGTTCTAAAATAAAATGTGTTTTCTCATTTACATTAATGCAATCAAAATAAAGACATTTATCACAACTTTTGAAGTTAGAGTTTTTGAAAACAAGTATTTAAAATAATAACAAACAAGCTATTGTACTAAAATGGATCAACTCCAAAATCTAAGTTAATTTATCACATATTATTTAATATTAATATCTTGTATTTTGTATCATACTATTTAATATTAACCTTATTAACATATTTAAATAAAAACTGTTCTAGGAACTTCACTAACTTAACTAGAGGACATATTTATTTGTTTGTAACTCCATATATTTTTACTTGTAATATTAAATTTATACATTTTTATAAATAACTTTACAAATCATATATATTAGAATTCATTTACAAAATTTTATTTTACATATTCTTGCGAATTTGAATAAAATTGCATATTTATTTTACAAGTATATTCCATTTAAAGCAGATTAATAATACACTAACTATCACAATTATTTACATTTAGAATACAGAGGTTCATATTTTTAAAAGATAAGTGTTTTTCTAATTTAGTTTATTAGACAAAGAGTTTAAACTTGATAAAATTTAGCAAGATATAGTAATAATTTAATTATAGTCCATTAAACTCAGTCAATATTGAAAGATCATTTTCAATCTAAAAACTTTTATTAACAAACAACTTTTATAGCTTTCTGAAAAATATAACTTATTAATTAATTTCTTAGAATGAGGAAAGAAAAGTTACTTTTACCTATTTCTACTTATATCATTTAGACTTACTTAAATTTCAAAAAGAATTGTTGAAATTTGTTCATTTATTGTATACAACATGTTGCGTTTACGTATTTTTGTTATTGCAAATTTTTATAAACTATATTACATATTATATGGATGATATGTTTTTAAACTTTTTTTGCATATAAATTCATGCTCTAGTCATTACAAATACAGTTTTTTACAAGATAACCAAGTAGCTAAATGTATTAATCAATTATTAAACGTTAGTGAAATCAGTTTCAAATTGTCAATCCTCAATCTGTATTTATCAGTAATGATAGTAACACAATTATAAAATTATTGTATAAATTGGGGTTGTTTATAATGTAATGCTGAGTAATTCAAAATATGTTATAAATAAAAATATTAAAATATTATTAAATACATTTTAAATCTTAAAAAATAAATAATATAATAAAAAAAAAAAAGAAAGAAAATAATTAATATAAATAAAAATTTAGTATATAAAAATATATTTCTAGATTATAGCTTTAGGTATCAAATGTTATTTGCATACATAATTGATAAAATTCTTACAGATTTGTATTTTAAAATAAAATTGCCTATTTGTTAAAAAAAATGTTCTCATTTTAGATAAATTGGTACGAAAATAAACAACAATATGCTTACTATAAATTGATAACCCTGTAAAAACAAATATTCCAAATAATAGAATACTTTAATTTAGGTCTTTTGTTTTTATCTTCAATAATAACTTAACATCTTGTTGCTATTTATAATTATGTAAAGTAGTATTTATAATTCTTACATTTTATCAATAAAAATAATTATTCATGATGACTTTCATGTAATTATATTAATGTTTAGTGTGTGTCTGTTAATATGTTAAATTTTTTGGATTCATGTAACTTATATTTTAAACCTGTATTGAAATTTAACGCGAGTTTGTTTATATACGTAAAATGGGTATAATTTTTAGAACTACCTGGAATTATAGGTGTTTGATATGTTCTGTTTTTTGTTTTATTTTACATTACAGAGGCACACACAAGCTGTACAATGCGTACTAAATTTAAAAAATACTATAAAAATGTATCAATGTTGTCGCATTGTCGACGCTGTGCCTCGAAAATGGACATGCATAAATAATTGCGTGTGGGTCTGTGTGTTCGTGGCGGCTCTGGCTACACAAGTAGTTTGAGTGGTCGCGCACCGGCGGCAACGTGGGGCTAGTCATTCCACACAGCTGTCCCCCCAACTGCCGCCTTGACCTGTCTGTGTATGTTGTGACGTATCCAACGTCAATCGTTGTCCCGTGTGGGGCGCTTAAACACTTACACCGGATATCGATGGTAAATAGCAAATAAACAAAACGTTAACAATGTTATTTTGGAGATTCATTATGGTAAATGAAGTGATTATGGAGTCTTAGGTCAAACAACAACATTTAACAACTACAAGTGTTGATATTTAATACTATTTTTATTTTTCTTAATTTATTTTAATTGTTGTTTAGATGTGGAAGATGTGAAGTTTGTAATCAATTTTGACTACCCAAATAACTCTGAAGACTATGTACATCGCATTGGTCGTACTGGCCGATCTCACAAGACTGGTACAGCTTACACATTCTTTACACAATCAAATGCCAAACAAGCTGCAGACTTGGTTTCAGTTCTCACAGAAGCCAATCAGACTATTAGTCCCAAACTGAAAGACATAGCTGATAGTTTTCGTTCTAATGGATTTTCAGGAAGAGGTATTATTTAATAATTAAAAATTACTTATTTTGTTAAATAATTTATTTAATACACATAATATTTTTATAGGTGATAGACGACGTGGATGGAGGAGTGGTCGATCAAAAAAATCTAAGAGCCGTTCACGGAGCCGTGATCGGTATAGACGTAGATCAATTTCTAGATCTAGGTCTAGATCATACTCTAGGTCAAGAAGCCGTAGTCGTTCACGATCATATGATAGACATCGACGACATAGGCGTAGCAGGTAGTACTAAATAGTATAGCTATTTAATAAATGTATTCATTAATGCAATTTATTCAAATTGTATACCTATATGTTAATAAATATATTATAAATAGGATTATTAAAAATAATTTAATTGATTTCAAATTATTGTTAAATTTAAGTTTATAGGTTAAAAGTAATAATTGACAGTAAAATAATATTATTTGAAATTTAGTTACTGTATTCTATTATTTATGTCTACTTAGAACAGCCACACACAGGCTTCCCTTATTTACATAAACCAACAATATAAAGTTTTCCATTAACTAATTAATAAATAGTCTGGTTCTTCCTATAGTTGCTACAGCATATTTAGTACATTCATTTTTCAGTTCCTCTATGATTGATAGTATTGATTAAAAATATTGTGTACACCAGTATTTTTAACATCCTCAAAGTATCTGGTGAATCATTTTAAATAATCCTTTATTATTACAATATAATTAATATAATTATAATGTTTTTATTTTTATTTTTATTTTAATTTTAATTTTAGGAGCTCGGATTAATGATGATTAACGAACAAACAATTAATTTCAATTTTGGTTGTTTTATACTTATGCAATATTTTTATTTATATTTTGCAATAGATTTCCCATTATTTTGTTTTAACTATGACTTTTTTTTTTTATTATATATATATATTTTTAAAATTATTTTATTTTACACTAAATACAAATATGTGTATAATATGTTGTCTTATTAAAAATTAACTACAAATTAAAATTATAATATTTCTACTTATAACACTAAAAAATAACTATAAAACAACTTAAGCTTTTAAATATCAATGTAGATACATTTTAATTTTTGTATATTATAATTAATTGTTAAAATGTATTTGAATATACATAGATTCTTGTAATTGTATGTAATTATTAATAAGTTAATATCTTAAATTTAGTTTATAATTAGTTTAAAAATAAAACATTAATTTTTAGTTTATTTATATTATACCTAATGATCTTAGTCATATTTTAACAAATATAAATTTTATAATTATTATTAATTTATTTACACGTTTAGGTTAACAAATATCTAATAATTCCATCCTAGTTGAATTGTCAAAATAACTTTCGAAATTTGTATGTAATGGAATAATATTCAAATTAATTGTAAGTAAAAAAAAAAATATATATATATATATTACTTATTATTGGTTTCTTTATATTATATTCAGCTATATATATTATAAAAACTTCACTTAAAATTAAATTTTTCAAATAAAAAATATTATATTTATTGAATATGGCTAACAATTGTTCATCCTTTAATGCATTAAGTGTTTTAAAAATAATTATAACATTGTAGATATGCATAAATAAAGAATAAAAAATATTTCTTTATTTTAGATGTGTTATATCCAAAATGTATATCCTAGTAAATAGATATTATAGTATTCAGATATTTTGTAATAGTAATTTTTAAGCCAATTGACAGTTTATAATGAATATTTGTAATATGAAACACTTAAAAGAAAATTTAAAAAAATAAGTTTTTTTTGTCTTTGTATAATACATACCTGTGGCCTAAACAAACATATGCATAATATATGAGACATTGTCTTGGTACACTGGGAAATGTGAAAAAACTATTAGGTTTTGAAAGAAAAATATTTTATACATCATTTAACAAATTTCAAGTTTTCAAAGAATTAAGAATTACCTGTTGCAATTATTATACTAAAAGCCAGATGAGCAAGTTTCATCTACTAACAAGGGTAAATAAATAAACTAGATAAATAGAAGGAACCAAAAGATTTTGTCATTGATTCAATATCATTATTGATTGATAAAATTAATTAAAGCAGCAAAGGACACAATTAAAAAAATAGTAAAATTAGTTGTAGGCAATGATGAACTTTATAAAATATATGTCTATAAAGTAGGTAACTTGGATTTAACACTTGATGGTCATTGTTCTCACATTCATTTTTTTATCCTATTAAAAATGTATATGATTACTATACTGTAAGTTTTCTACTAGGTATTTTCTACTCATATGATTCAATTTAAAAAACTGAAGTAGATACCTATTTTTATTCATATTTTTTCTTTGAGAAAGTATTACTGAGTAAAAAACGAGAAGAAAATAATATAAGTTTAGTCATAATATAGCATTAGTTTGTACAATTTTTAAACTATTTTCATCATAAAAAATTTAACTATAGCTTAATTTGAATCATTCTGATGTTAAATTTTGAGAGGAAATACTACTCATGTGAAAAAAAGATTTAAAAACTTGCTAAATGGCAAATAGCCATAGATCTACCAAAAATTATTTAATCTGTTCTGTTGTCTTATCATTGTTATCAATAATAAAGATTTAAGGTTATTTTTTTATAATATTCAATAACTATGATAGCAGAAACATGATATAATATTAAAATTTTTATTAACTATCTACTAATTTATTATTTTACTTTCATTTTACTAGTTACAAATTTACCATATACATCTAAAATTAAAAAGAACAAATTTATTAATTATGCTACAATCATACCAAATTAATATTTATGCCTTGTGTTGTAATACTACTCTATAATGAATAATAGTGATAAATATTTCATCAGTTACAATTTAGTGATTGTTGAGTACATATATATTTCTATACCATAACTTTAGTACTTACATAATAAAATAATAATTAAAAATCGATTAGATGTTATTCTATTAGAAAAACCGTAGAAATACTATGATTTTTTGCTCAAGGCGTTAGAACAGGTAAAAAAAATGTTGTTCAAAGCACTTACTAAAGTGCGACCCATGTGTGGCTTGCATTGTTCTCCAAACTCTATGTTCAACAAATATATACACAATTCTAGTACAAACAGTGAACAAAAAAAGAGAATACGTTCTACTGTATATTATCTTTCTTCATTAGGAGTATTAACGGTCGGCCTAAGTTATGCGGCTGTGCCATTGTACAAAATGTTTTGTCAGGTGAGCATGTTCATTATTTTTTGATTATGTGTACATTAATTTAATAAGTCACTACAATGTAGATCCATTTATAGGCATTCAGTTATGGTGGAACACTTAATCATAATATAGAAGATTCTAAAGTAGAAACAATGAAGCCTAATAGAAACCGAGAGATTAAAGTTCATTTCACTGCTGATACATCGTCCAGTATGCAATGGAGCTTTAAACCTCTTCAGAATGAAATCAGAGTAATAACATTAAGCTTAATAGAGCATTAATAATCCAAATAAATTGTAACCAATATAATGATAAATAATTCAGTTAGTTAATAATTAATACATTTTATATTTTGTAAAATCACAACTACTTTATTTTTTATCAATTTGATATTTAAAACCATAGATTTTTATCATAATAATTAATATTAACTTTTAAATGAAAACGTGGCATTTATCCATTTATTTTTTATACAATTTACTTGTTGCCAGATTGATGTTTAAAGTGTAAATATGATTATTTGATTAAAAGTCGTCTAGTGTAGAAAGACACCTAGTATGTTAAGCGATAGGTGAATAATGAATGTCTAACACACAATTATATTTTTTTAAATATAGCTCATGTATTTTTATTGAACAAGTTGAAATGATGATTACAATTATTGTAACATTTTAATTTTAGTTTAATAGTTGGATGTTTGGCCTATCCACATTGGGCATTATCAAACTACACTTTTTTTAATATTTCCATTTCTATTTTAATTTTTAATTATGATCTTTAAATTAGAATACACAAATAAATATTATTACAATTTAATAATAAATTGATTTAATTTTAATTTGAACTTAAACTTTATTGAAAAGGATAAAAATTTACATTTTTATTTTTATTATTAAAAACTTAATATTTTTTATGTTTATATTAGGTAGCACCAGGTGAAACTGCATTAGCATTCTATACAGCTAAAAATCCATTAGATAAGCCAATTACAGGTATCAGCACCTACAATGTTGTGCCTTTTGAAGCAGGACAATATTTTAATAAAATACAATGTTTTTGTTTTGAAGAACAACAATTAAATCCAAATGAAGAAGTATAATTAAGTTGTTTATAGTATAACAACAGGATTAATTGTGATTTTTAAATTTTTCAGGTTGATATGCCAGTATTTTTTTTTATTGATCCCGAGTATACAACTGATCCAAAAATGGAGAACATTGATGATATAACACTGTCCTATACATTCTTTGAAGCCAAACAAGGCATGGATTTATCAAATATTTTCAAACACTGATACTACACATATTTATCATATTTATGATTTTGTTAGTAAATATTGTTAATACAATTGTTTATACGCTTTAGTTTTACTTGTTTGGTATAAAAAAAAAAAATGTATAATATATATTTTATAAAATGTTTTAAAGCTCAAAACAGTTAAAACTATATTTCAGGTTATATCAATTTCTACATATTGAAAAAATAAGCATTTAGTATTGACAATAGGACCTGATCAAAGTAGTTTAAATTATAACTACTGATTATATTTGACAATTAAAGAGTCTAATTACTATCACCTAGTAAAAGTAAAAATTTTTGATAAAAATAGGTATCTTCAAATGAAAGAATAAGATTTGACGAGAATAGTTAATTATTGAGGTAGACTACCATAGTTTTAGAACATGTCTTGTATTTTATTGGTATTTGCAATGACATGTATGTTTAAATTGAAATAAAATATTGCAGATTTCTGAGATTCCGTGTCATACAATAAATTAGGCTTTTAACAAGTATTTTATACAAATTAATATTACTTTTAATTAATAGGTATAAGAAGGAATGGATCCTTAAACACATTGAATAGTTGAAAGTTTGTAAAAAATTAATTCTGGAATTTGAACAATTAGAGAGAAATCAAGTTTGATATTTATACCTTTATGAATATAATTTACATGAAATTATTAACTAAGAACATTAATTAAAAATCAAACTTTTTTTGGGGTAAAAACAAATTATAATTTTACTAAAAACTAAAATGGATTAATAAAATAAATTTTAAGTTTAAATATTAAAAATATTTAAAGTTAGAATGAAAAATTATTTCTATAAATTTGAGTTTGATCAGAAAAATTTCAATATGAATTTGTAAAAATGAAGTTGGGTCCATCTTCAAACGTAAATAATACATTAAAGCCAGCCTCCAATTATTACAATTATGCAGTTGCTCAATTTTTAACTGAAAATAATAAGCTTAATTCACTTTGATTTTAAAGCTAATCACGCAAAAGTGGTTTTACTGAATATCAGTGGTGTACTGACGGGGGGGTTTAGCCCCCTCCCCCCATAAGTAAAACATGTATAATGATTTATTTTATGGAATATTACAATTAACAAAAAAATTTTATCCACATATATGTATATAAATGCTAACCCCCTCATAAACGAATAATTCTGCGTACGCCACTGCTAAATACATATTTGCCTTGTGTGTTTGTATTACGAAGATAGCAATGTAGCATAAGACAACTCGAGAGAGTGAAGCGTTCTTTTTAGATTAAAGATATTCAATTTTCAAGGGCTTATATAGGCAATTTTAATGATGTTTTGAGAAAAATTAAAATGGTTTATATTATATTTTTAAATTTTAATTCGAGCCATTTTAAATGTGGTCTCATGACAGTATCAACACAATATTGAAAATAGATAGAATAGCAAATTTGTCTTCAACAATATTACATTTGTATTACACGTTTTTAAATGTCAATAGTAATATTATATCGAATAGGTACCTTAAAGTTTAGTTCTAAAATTGAATAAATAAAAGCCAAATTTAAACTAGGTTTGTTGAAAAATGATATTATACAAGACGACTATACACTCGAAAATTAATTCAATTGATTAAATAGTTAATTTTTCGTTGTGAAGATATCATAGCCGCCTTTGAGTGGTCAATTTTTTTTTTTTTTTTTGGTGGGGGGGCTTTAGTCCTCTTAGAGGTAGACATGTACCGAATCATGGGGGCTTCATCTACATTTAGGGTAGGGGGCTAAACCCCCTAACAATGCTTATGGAAGATATATTTGTAAATGGTATAACTCCTTATATTATAAATTATATAGATGTGTACAGTACCTACAAGAAAACGAAAATAAATACATAATTTGTCTTCATCGGAGGTAATATCATTCGCCTGACCACAACAGAACGATTGTGTATTAAATTTTATATATTTGTACGTTACAGAAATTCACGGCCAGCATCAAGTCGACCATATACATTGATAATTACGGACGTCGGAGAGATGTTCGACGGTCTCGGATTCACGGAGCCGGTTCGGTCGATCGTAATAAATTACCAGCTGATAATTCGACGCTTTCACATAATACCATTATAGGTACCTAAACCCGCCGGGTTCACGTTAAGTCACGTCGTACAATATTCGCGAATGGTGTTCATGGATTATTTCCGGAGCCCTCGAGCGAGTCTCCCACAGTCGCCTTCGGTTATCTGTGTACAGACCAGCTATCCTAAACGCGAAAATTACGCGCCGTTGCCGATTTCCTCGCGGTCAGTAAGTTTGATTGGCATGTTGCGTGGCGCGAAGAGACGCGTAAAGCCTTACTTGAAAATCCCCGGAAATTTACGAAACCCTCTGCCCTTCACTTATAAAACTACCGATATCGTGATTTAACGTAATAACGGTATAGCCGACGATCGCAAGATATTACACGCAATCAAAACGTATACCGATCGAATAGAACCTATATGAAACGACCGGAACCACCAAACAATATGGTGCCTAGGTAATAAATTATTACCGTAGTAAATATTTCGTCATTTTATACTTTAGATCAGGAGTCGGCAATCCGCGGCCCGCAAAGCAATTTTTAATGGCCAACACAAAGGTGGTTAATTTTTGTGTTTTACTTTTGTTCAATAACATTTTTCATATAATTTTCAATATTATATAATTCTTTTTCCTTTATAAATAAAATCTAATCTAACCGTTTCATAATAGCAATACAATTATAAGTATTATATCATAATATGTAATTTTTTTTTTTTTTTAATGTGGCCCTTGATGAACAATTGAAAAAAAAAAATGGCCCGTGTGGTTAAAAAGGTTGCCGACCCCTACTTTAGATGTTTGTGTGGAGCAAAGAGACATATCCGTACAATATGTTCACAAATAATTTAAGGTAACACTTTCAACAATCGGATCATCACTCTGCCAGTATGATAGTACACATATTTAAAATGATCTAACTATAGATATGTATTATTATTCAATATTATACGTTGAAATTATAAGTTAAAAAATAGTGATAAATGATAATATATGATCATTGATCATTATTTCATTATTTTATCACAAAGATAATAAACGAATAAAATGAATCTATATAATTCAATCTTCGTTCGTGATTCTTTGGATCAACAATTGGATTTCGATTTAGTTCAAGTAGTGCATTAAATGTGAGTCAATGAACGAATAGTTTTCGTGTATCGATTCAAATGTGTCGAATCATTTAATTTATTTATTTTGCCCATACCTAGTAATAATTATAGTTTATACAGACATAAAATCGTCAAGGAGAGTTCCTGCTTTACGTACGTGATGCCTGATGGGGAACTATACATAAAAACCGATACCCAAGGAATAGCACTAGGTAATCATTACTGCGATTATGGAAAAAGCTGTCGAGAGACAAATCCTATACTCGGCGAACGGCGTATGAGGTAGAAATACGACAGGCCTGTGTACGGACCCGACCAACTGCGTGTGTAAGATTTGAAATTAGTTATGGAACGTTACGATTTTGAACATAATATATCTCAGCTTATCATTTAACGTATAAAAAGGCATTTTTAATATACAAACACTGCACATACATATTATGTATAAAAATATTATTTAATTATTAAGTATGAAAATTGAAATTTTATTCCTCTTTATTTATCAGGACATAAAACTGATTTTGATGTTTACACGACTTTGTCAGCTGTATACAATTTTGTACCGTAGCGTTTTTATTATTTTAATATCAATATACACAGTTTAACTTATATTAAAAAAATGAAAAAAATAAAATAAACATGAGTTTATGATTGAATATTTTGATTCAACGATTAAAGCAGAAAAAAAAGAATGAATAAATCACAATCCACATTTCGATATTAAGACTAAAAGGACATGTTAAGTGAAAAATACACAATTGTTAGTAGGTACTTTTATAATTATAAAAATACGCTTTTGAGGAAAAAAACATTAATTTTTCAAAGTAGGCTACGTGCTCATGTACTTCTAATGATCCGGCTTACTCAAGGGTTTTACAGTAAAAATATATACATGACACAAATCGTAAAAAATAATTTTATGATTTTTTTTCTTTTTATTGCTTTAATTATCCAACTAATTGATAAAATTATAAAAACTTGCAGGGTCTATACTATCCTAGATACAATTTTCCTCTACAGTTTTTATAATGGGTGATTTTACTGTAAACTAATTTAATAAGACTGTATTTTTTAATTAGTGGTTACTACCACGATTTTTCATGACACCGACTGAGATAGAAAATTGAGCGAGAGAACGAATCTAACCTACCTAATGGTAAAGTAAAATTCGGTACGAACTTAAGCACGACAAAATTAATTTTGTCTATTCTTTTGGTTCGTAAGTTATTACTTGATACTTAGTTATTTAGTAGTTTACTCTTAATAGTGACGTCCAAAACATTGAAAAAGAAACATATTGGCATGTTCTTTCGCAGGGCTATAAAGTTTCAGTAGATAAATTATCCATTAAATTTCTCACAAAGTTTAATGTTCTTGTATTACTTTCAAATATTAAAAATAGAAAAACTTTGAATAAAATAACAATCATCAAATAATGCATTGACATTTTTATTTACTCAACAAGTGTGTGTTAAGTTATTATCTGTCTTGGACTTAGATGAGCAACATTTATGAAAAGCATTTTATTTTTTGAGTAATTTATTATTATATATTTCAATACATAAACTAGAGATGGATAAGATTATACAAAATCATTATTAATGTATAAAATATTATTAATTATTTAGTAAACCGTTTATTTATAACTGAAAATCTTGTTTACTTTGTATGAATACAAGTTTGGCGATATTAACTTATTTTGTGAAATATTAAACATGAATAAGGATATTAATCTTAAATCACATTCAATTATACATTTTGTCGGAGTTTAGATTAACTGGTATTGAGTGTTCTAAGTAACAACCGTTAATTTTATTATTGTATCAACATTAAACTGAAATATGCTGAGTTTATGCTTTTAATTTTAATTCAACAAATTTATTAAGTTAAAAATGTTTATTCATAAGGTAAACTTAACCCTACTAAAAACTTGTTCAATTTTATCAC